TTTGCCCCAGGGGCCTTTCTCTTCCAGTGACACCCTACCTGCCTTCAATTATATTATCATTGAGTTGGTCCATATCAGTGCATTTATGTACTGATTAGGTTAAGGCTCTCAAAACCCAATCATTTCACCTGTAAACTTCCGTGTATTGTTTCACACCTGAGATTTTGGGGGATACCTCATATCTAACCCATAACATAGAATATAGGATCTAGTAGCATAATGTGAGATTCTGCACTGCCTTTACCAACTTTTAGACACTTGATTCAGGCTCCATAACAATTAAAATCTACTTGTTATAGAAAAAATAGTAACAATCATATGTACTGAGTATAAAACCAAGAAGTAGGGACTTGTGCTAGTTTCTCACAGTTGTCTAGAAAACCCACTTGGAACCAACATTCGGCTCCTTAGCTTCTTCATGGCTTCCTTTACATCTTTATTCCTCAGAGTGTAAATCATGGGATTAAGGAAAGGAGTGAAGACAGTAAAAAAAACAGAGATAAATTTATCAATTGGAAAGCTTTCAAAGGGCCAGATATAGATAAAGATTAATGGACCAAAGAACAGAACCACAACAGTAATGTGGGCTGACAGGGTGGAAAGTGCCTTGGACATCCCACCAGAGGCTTGGTGATGAACAGTAGCAAGAATGACAGTGTAAGAAATGAGTAAAAGGAGGAAACAGATAAGTGAGAGCAGACCACTGTTGGTGAGTACGAGGATCTCCAAAACATAGGTGTCTAAGCAGGCAAGTTTAATCACCAGGGGAAGGTCGCAGAAAAAATTGTCTACCTTATTGGGTCCACAGAAGGGAAGATCAACTGTGAATGCCAGGTGACTGGCTGAGTGCAGGATGCCAATGGCCCAAGAGACTACCACCAGAACAGTGCAGACCCTTCGGCTCATGATGGCCAGGTAGTGCAGAGGTCGGCATATAGCAATATATCTATCATAAGCCATGGCAACAAGAAGCACCATTTCACTGCCCCCAAAAACATGCAAGAAAAATATTTGTGACATGCATCCCTGGAAAGTGATGGTCTTACGTTCACTGAGGAAGTCTGCAATCATCTTGGGAGTAGCAAATGTAGCCTGACACACATCAATGAAGGAGAGATTGCTGAGAAGAAAGTACATTGGAGAATGTAATCGAGAGTCTGTAATTACTGTGAGGATGATAAGGATGTTTCCCAATACTGCAGCCCCATAAAACACAGAGAAGACTATAAAAAGGACAAGTTGGAGTTCCTGAGAGCTGGACAGGCCCAACAAAATGAATTCAGTAACCACTGACTTATTGCTCCATCCATTAACTGAGTCTGGGTTGTTGGAGTTATCTAGAAGAAAAGAAAACAATAATTAATAAGGATAGCCTCTTGCTACTTATCAAGTGAAATAGAAGATTTGATTCTAATAAATATAAAAATAATATTATGAGGCTAAAAGACACTGTATATTCACATTATTGTTAGAAATTGATATTTTATATGAATTATTCTTTACTTTTTCATTATGGATTGGAATGATAGACAGATAGGTAGCCAGAAGTATCTAACAAATAAATCTACAGGGAAGTAGGGAAGTTGAGATATACCAGGATTTGCAAATGTATTCTAATTATGTTTTTGTAAAAATGTACAAAATTCTCAACACCACTTTGAAAGTCACACTTACTTTACTTACACATTCAGATTATGAATAGTTGAAAATAAGTCTAGTGCCTTCTATAAAGTCTTGGAGAAAGAGAAAATCTAGGCTAAGTATAAGGAGATGGAAGTCATCCCAGTTACTTCAGTAAATGTTATCGGAGAAAAGAATCAAATGTAGCCATGTATTTGAGCATCTGCAGTAATAAGATCAGGAAGAAATTTTAATTTTTAACAAGTTAAATTGGTGTGAGAGAAAACATTCACCTTTCTGTGTTAAAATATTTTGAAGTTTACAATAGTGAGTTAGACAATTTAGTATACATTATTTTTAATCAAAAAATGGTTGCGTTAGTATCACAGTCATATCTTTTTGATTCTCAAAATGATTTACAATTTGTCTAAGTTGAATTTAAAATTCTTTAATTGATCAGATAACTGCTCCTCAAAAATAGGACTAAATGCAATTTTAGTGAGCATGACATATTTGCTAATTAAATTTAATTTAAATTTCTTTGCTAATGATTTTATGAGATAATCTATATGTAATGTTATTTCAATAACAAAATTGCTTCCCCAAACTTATTGAATAGTATCACTGATGTAATTAATTTATTCAACTTTAAACCATGCACTCTTAAAAACTCTGAGACAAAGCAAGGACAAAAAAAGAAACAGAAAACTATAACATCTTTATATAGCTTATATTTTAATAATAGCACTGGCAGAGAACATTAAAAATAAATAAATAAAATAGTATTATATCAATTAATGATAAGCACTATGGAAACAATCAAGGAGAACAAATGAATATGGACTATACCCAGATGAACAAATGAATATGGACTATACCCAGATGGTCAGAAAACACCTCATTAAGATGTCACACTTCAGACCAAGGACAATGTGATATGAGCCTTGAAGAAATCTACTGCAGACAAAGAGAGAAGAAAGCATGTTCAATAATTCATCTATGTTTGAAGAAATCTACTGCAGACAAAGAGAGAAGAAAGCATGTTCAATAATTCATCTATGTGAAATTGGCAGTATGTTGGAAGACTATTATAAATGAATTAATGGAAATTTAACTTTTAACCTTACTATAAACTGAGTGGAAAAATTGAGCTTTTTGAAAAATATTCTCCCTCATAGGCTTAAGTATGTTTATAATTTTAAGAAGCTATAAATTTAGTTTTGCAATGAAAAAGCACCCTAAAATCTAAACTGCCAGTTTTTAAGAATAAAATATAGGTATAAGATTGCTTTCCAAATTTTGTATACCCCCACCACCACACACAAACACATAGATATGTACATATATATGTATGTAACAATATATACAATTTGAAAACAATTTTATATTTTCATATAAATGCATAATGTTATTCTTACCATTTAAAGTAAAATTGAAACAATCTGTTATTCAGGAAATGTCTTTTGAAATTAAATTTTATGACTAGATGTCAGAAGTGGGAAAGAGCTACCTGTCAAAGTTTAGAGTCATACTTGACAGTTAATTGGTATAGATTATTAATTCATTCAAATATTGAGACCATGAAAATTATAAAAATCAATTAAGATTTTGGTATTATAATATCAATTGTACCCTCTAAAATATTTCCCTGTACTGAAGTTTTGTGTATGTAATACCTAATAATAATTGGCAAAATAATATATGTATTAAACTAAAATTTTCTGATATAAAACTATTCTACTTTGTCTACAATTATTATAATTTAGTTGACTTCCATAGTTCTACAAATGTAGGAAGAATTTCTCTAAAACCACTCCAAATGTATTTGTTTTCATAGTAAGCAATAATTATGTTTGTTATTCACATTTGCATTATCATCCAAAATGGAAACTTTGAAAATTTCCACAAGATGCCATTATATATTCAGATGAGAAGATCTGAGTCTGCCAAGCATGGTTGCACACACCTGTAATCTCAGGCACTGGGGAAGTTTAGTTGGGAAGGTCACAATTTCCAAGAAGAGCCTCAGCAACTTCGTGGGATCCTGTCTCAAAATAAAATTAAATAAGGACAGAGTTGTAGCTAATTGGTGAAGCTTCCCTGGGTTCAATTCACAGTATCCCCCTCTCCCAAAAAGGAAGATCTTATTTGAACACCTAGCTTCATTTACTCTTTGTGATCATGTTTATTCATTCATTCTAATTTATTGACATCTGCGTACTGAAGCACCAGGTCATCAGTAGGAGATATAACAGAGATATAATGATGATTGAAACAGATGGGATTCATAACCTCATGAAATTCACCACATTTCTCTGCAATTTTAATTCCTTGATTGGGAAAACATGCATTTGAACGAGCTGTGTAAACTGTAAAATGATAAATACTAGTTATGTTCATATAGTACTCTTATTGAAAATTACATAATAAAGTATTATTTTCAAACATGCAAAGCTAATCTGAGTGAGAAAACATCCAATTTGGAGAATATTAATAATCTATGAGATTTTTAAAAAATATAAAAAATATTAAAATGTAATATTATGATGAAATTAGTTTTCTTTAATAAATCTATAATTTATTGAAACAACAGAAAGCAAATCTGACAAAAAAGAGAAGTAGATGCTGAAGAGAGGCCTTGTGGGGCTCTTCACAGTTCTCTCTGTATTCACCTGTGGTTACCTCCTGTCATTAGAATTCTTTAAACTGAAAAAGACAAAAAGAAAATGTAGTAAATTGAAGTCCGAATTATATTCCAAGTGGCTATCACCATGAAAGAAAGGAGGACCTCCTTTGATGCTTCATTATCAAATGTACTTCAGAATTCAAATGCAGAGTGAAACAGTGCCCTGTCTTAGACATCAGGGTAACTTAGGATAATCTTCCCTTGATCACTGATTTCAGAAAGTAGTTGCAGGTCTCTACGTAAGCTAGATACAAACTGAATGTGAAACCACCAGCCTTCCATTTAAAGAATTGTGACATTCAAATGCAATACTTTCTGGATTCAAAAATTAGTTTGGCTAATGAGGAGGTTCAATGAAAAGTATTCAAGTCAAGCAGAAAGAAAGTAATCTAATTTGTGTAAGCTTCTCCTTTGCGCCAAATTCTAGGTTGTTCAGCTCAGATTGACAAATGCAATGATTGAAAGGTCTTGGTGATAGTGATGGATGTCAGACATGAAAAGAGTCAATGCAAGACATGGAAGAAAGCAAAGACATTTGGTCATGAATATAACCATATTTATAGGAGGAAATAGTTTTCTTGTTGTTAAATGAAAGTAGATAGAGGCCTTCAGGTATAAGTTAATTGTCTTGCAGGGGTTAACAATTACATAAATTATGTGTATTTTTAATGCAAGATAATACAAAGTAATAGAAGCTAGAAAATGTCCTCAATGATAAAAAGTCAAATTAAAGCATTCTATATTTATTAAATGTTGGGAGAAAAGAGCCTCTGCTAATTGTAATTATAACTGCCAGTATTTTCTTAGTCAATTACATTCAAAGCACTGTGCTAAACACTTCATGTATTATCTTATTTATCTTATAATCCTATATAGAAGGTATTATTATCAGCTTAACTTTTCAGTAGAAGAAGCCAAATCTTAGCAGCATAGTTAGTGTCACAGGGCACACTGCTAGTCAAAGGGAGTTTGCATAATCAACTAATCATGTATTTCACCACTATGTATTGCTAACTAAAAACTTCTTGACTGAGAACTTGTGTCCTAGGAAGTCTACCTGGGTTTGCTGTTTTATCCCATTCTATTCTCTACCATCATCTCTATGTTTTCTGAACCATATATCAATACTTTCCCCCTTATCTACCTACCTCAATGCATCATTTTGGTTAACATAAACAATAATTAAACATAGTTTGACATTTTGTTTCAGATTTTATAATTTCATATTCAAAGTCCAAGTTTACATGCTAAGAACCCAGGTTATTTTTGACTCTAGTAAAAACTTCAGCCCAGAACCCCTTTTAACTCTCTGAATGGTAACAGCTATATTTTCTCTTTCAATATGATTACATGCTACATACCAGTTTTTAGAGATGTCCCAGGGTAACAATAGGCAGGAAAAGCTTCTGAAACCCATTTTTTTTACATGAGTCACAAATACAAGTACCCATAAACAAATATTTAAATACTATGCCACACACCCCAAAATCTCAGACAACCAATCCCATGGATTACAACAGACAATTAAAGAACTATCTTTGTGAAGTTAAGTCATCTTGCTATGGGAGTTATTAACATCATTTAGGTTGTTTTTTCCAAAAACAAGAGGATGAGGATGAGATTTTTGAAACTCTTCACCTATAATTGCAAGAGAAGACATATATCACAAGGGAGAAATGTAGTGGCCCAGAAGTGTACAACCCCTCTGTTTACCTCATTTCACAATCTGCCTCCCTCCTTCACTATCAACCCATGTGTCCAGAGACTAAAGGAATCTAATCAGAAGTATAAATATGGCAGTAGACTTAAAAAAACCAGAATTTTATTTTCTAATATTACTTTAATTAAGTTTTTCTTTCATGGAGGCATATATGATAATAGTTTACAAACTCCATACATCACAGTATTCTACCTCTAAAATTCCAATATTTTAATTGTCATTGCTCAGTATACAACAGAATCAGAAAGAAAGCTTAGTTTGTCCTAAGGAGGTAGACAACTCAGATACAGGCACAGCCTACCTCTGGAAATTGTGGAAAGACACATTATCAGAACTGTAGAAGGACTTCAGAGCTTTTCAGAGAAGAGTAGTGACATAGAAAATACAAAGCTGAGACACAGCGAGAGTGAGTGCTCAGGAAATTGGATGAACCTCATAGAGGAGCAAGGCCTTTCCAGGATCCAGACTGATACACCAACTTTTTTCCTGAATCTTCTGTGAAATGTTTCCAGACATCCTGATTTTTCTTTTACAAACCTAATCCTCCTTAGTAGGCCCTGTTCCAGACAATGGTGTTTCTGTTGACCTAGAGGTTTCAGGCAGGAACATCAATCCTTCCCCCAAACCTGCTGTTAATTGTCTTGTAGTGATATGGGGTTAA